GAATGGGCCAAATGGGACAGAGATAAAGGAAGATATATGCACAGCCTTGGAACTCCAGGGCTCTGAGATACAGGGATTGAGTCATGGTTAGAATGGGCGGGGAATCGTGTTAAGATGCTTGGCTGTTTTTTGAATCTTGGTTTTCCTTGCATTATAATATAGAGTAGACACTGGAGGGGGAGAGAAAGGAATAAGTCAGAAACATCACACTAGAAGGCTTGTAAGTCCATCTTCTGCCTTTAACTGATTGGAATACCTAAAATGGGGCTACAGCATACCCAGTGAACGAGGCTTCCTGCGGAGCCTCTGCAATACATAAAACTATAGGTAGAAACCAGAACCACAACCAGACCACCAAAGATGAGAAATTTCCAATTGAAAGGACGAGCTGACCAGCCTGGAGAGGTGAGAAGAACAAAAGATATGTCTCAAATGAAAGACCTACAGGAAAAATACAAAACAATGGAGGCAGATGGACTGTTACTACAGGAAAAAACGGGTAGCTTTCCTAGGAGACAATGGGGCAGTTGGTCGAGTCCTACCAATGCAGGCCCCCATTCCAAGAGTGAGACTCGGTGGAAATGCACGCTTGGATTGGTGACCACACGCATCACTGATGAGGAGAAGTGGGGTAAAGACAGCAATGAAGCGGCGAGCTATGCCTTACAATATTCAATGGGCTTCTGTGGACCCAGTTGGGGACCTGGTTGGCAAGCAGTGTGAAGAGACCTGAGGACTCCTGGGCCCAGAGTCAGTGCCATGGCCATGGAGGACTCAAGTGGAGAATGGAGCTGCCAGCTGATGGGAAGAGAGGGCATGTGCACAAGAACACCCACACTTGCAGATGGTACCCACATGACCAGGACCGGATGACTGGATGATCAGAGCTCAACCAGGAGAAGAAAGAAGGGGGTGGGGGGGAAAGATTGAGCTGATTCAATCTGATGAACTTGACCTATACCTGCGAATGCAGTGACTCAAAAGAGGCAACAAATCCTTACAGCAAGAAACATTCCCACCCCCTCCACACACAGAGTAGACAGAGATGGGCAACTTGGACATTGGATACCCAAATGGGGAGGGAGGGACTACAAAGGCAAGAAGTGACTGGCTTACAAGCGTTCAAGAGGGAACCTAGAGCTAGGGGGCATGGAGGAAGGCAGAATCACCAGTGAGTACTATTCAATCTGTCTAGGTGGAGCTGATAAAATGAAATACAGATGGGTTACTCGCAATAATGTAGTGAATAATGGTTATCAAGACGGATTGTGAGGGTTGGAAATGCAAAGGTAGATGTTTTGTAACAAGGAAGGGATTATTTCTCCAGTCTAGGAGCGGAGGTCTCTGGGGCCACCAACGGAGAAGAGTCAAGAGCGGAACCCTACCCAGAGAAGCCGAGATACCTAAGATGGAGACAGAGACGATGACGTGGAGTGATGAAGCGGCTTGGGACTTTGGATCCAGAGAGGGAGAGGGACTGTGGGCCAAAGACCTGGGGCTGGGGGGGCGGGGGGAGGGAAGGGTAGAGGTAGAGGACGGGTTTCTAGGGTATACCCTTTGGTTGGAAGATGATCCATGGAGGGGAATGGAACACCATGGCAATGAAATGATATACGATGGAATGAATGTAAAACTAAAGTTCTCTCATGTAAACTATCATATAATTCATAATAAAACATTAAAAAAAAAAGAGTGTGTGGCAGAAGATAGAGTTCCTACTGAGTAGTTTTCATCTTGTCTAGATGGGTCTGGTGAAAAGAGATGGGGAGAAGATTCTTATGATTCAATACTGAGTAACTGTTATCATGACTAATTGTGACTGTCACAATTGTAAAGGTAGAAGTTTTGTAACAAAAACTGGGGAGTAGTTAATCTTACAGTCCAGAAACAGAGGGCCCTAGACCCATCAAGGGAGAAGAGCGCAAGCGGAATGCGGGACCGTATCCAGAGAAGCAGAGACACCAGAGATGGAGGCAGAGATGGGAACATGGAGAGAGGGAGCAGCTGAGGACTCCAGATTCATGGAAAGAGAGGGATTGAGAGCTGGTGGCCAGGAAGCAGATTGCAGAATGTCCCCTTTGGTGGTGTAAATTATTATATATGCCTGAGTGTTTAAAAAAAAAAAAAAAGAGCTAAAATGAATAGAGAGAAATACTGTTAACTGATGGTACATTGAGGAGATTATAATCATTGTAATGAAGCAAGGTATATAGTCTGTTGAATATAAAACTGATGATCTGCCCTGTAAACTTTCACTGAATTCACAATAAAAACATTTAAAAATAATAATAATAATAATAACAAATGGTAAAAAAAAAAAAAAAAAACCTCTACCAGATGAAGATAAAGAAGTTTGAGACTGTGAGCAACTGTAAATTGCTACAATTTGATAAACTGGACCTTTGCTTATGAATGCAGTTGCTCAAAATTCCATATGAAATGGAAGGACTCTGCGTATCAAGGATCAAGCTTGTTTCCTCAGTACACTGGGTTGATAGGGATGGGCAACTTAGACATTAGCTATCAAAAGTGGGTGGCTATAAATGCACAAAGGGGCTGCTTACAATCTGTGATGAGTGTGCTTAATTTCAGAATGAGGGAGGTAAGGTAGAATCTCCATTGAAGAGTTTTCCTCTTTTCCAGATGGATTTGGTGAAAGAGGATGGGGATGATGGTGATCCGATTATGATTCAATTATGAGAAATTTTTATCAGGATTGTGATTGTCACAATTGTAGACCATGTGTAACTAAAAGGGGGGTGTAGTTAATCTTTCATTTTGGGAACAGGGAACTCCAGGTCCATCAAGAAAGAAGAGCATGAATGGAGCATGATATTCTACCCAGAAAAACGGTGACTGCAAAGATAGTGGCAGAGGCAATAGCACAGAGAGATGGAGCAGCTGAGGGCTCTAGGCCATGGACTGAGAAAGGCTGTGTGCATATGGGCAGGAGTCTGGTTTGTAAAATGTGCCCTTTGGACATTTAAATGAATAGGTATCTTTTGTTTTGTATGTGTACATAAAATTTTTTTGCTTTGTTAATTTGTGAAAAATAAGATGTAAACGGGAAGCAACAGGGTGGAAGTAGGATAACTGTTGTTACAGGGAAGGGAGTGGAATCACTGAGGTGAAACAAATGTATGATTAGTTTAAGGTAAGGCTGATGACCTTGTCTAACCTTCACTCAATTCACGATGAAAAGTTGAAAGAAAGAAATAAAACCAATGGAAAAAGAAATAACCCACAACCAACCAGAATGAAAGAAACTATTTGGGAAGAAGGAAAGGGAAAAATAAACAAAATTGCATATTAGGTTGAATTTTCCAGATTATTTGATAGACACATCAAATCATTAGGCATTCACTGAACACTTTATAAACTTCCAGAAGGGTTTTAGACCTAAGGTACACATTAGAAATAAACAGATCTTTCCCTCTCCATGCTTGCATCCTCTGCAAGTATACCCTCAAGTTAAAGAGACAGAGCAACTGAAACCTAAAGCTCAGGACCCCGGACAAAATTATACAGAAACTGTCAGTTAGCATATACAAAACATGTAGTATTGACTCCTAAAGGTCCATATAAATGAAGTTTTTGGTAAGTTCAAAGAGATCAGGTGAGACAAAGACTTATCTTCAGATTGAATTCTACATCCGCAATCCATAGGTCACTGCTTGATGGAATCTGGAACCCTTTAGAAGGGGTGTCACTGTGATTCATTGTGTGGGGTTCTGCAGACTGGGGTTCTTCTCTGTTCCCAACCATCACAGTGGTAGGAAAAGCATGGCAACATGAGCAATGCTGGTAAGTCTCTAGAAAGTGCTGTCTTCAAAGCTCTGAGCCCTCCCCACAAATAAGGCAAACAGCTCATCTGCCTGATCTTATAGAACAGAGCCATTCAGGAACATCAGATGTGCCCTTAAGCTATTTGTGTCCTTTGTTTTTCTTCTCTATCTTGTTCTTGCCCTTCTCCTATCTTCTGCTGCCAGATAGTTCTGGGTTGCCCCATTTATATGACAGATAAAACAAGAGAGGCCGGTGGGTACCTATCTCCACTTCTTAGAAAGTCAACATGAAGTTTGGGATGATCCAAAGATTCTCTCTTCCCAAGTGAATATTATTATTATGTAGAATAAGTGCTAAAATGCTTCCCAGATTATTAGAAAATCTACAGACAGAACAAACGAGAATGAAAAAACAAGAATGAAGAAATGGTAGGATGGAAACGTGAAGGAGGTGGAGACCCTTATTTCCAAACCATATTAAATCTGTCTTGTCAATGGTAAGCTCTCTCATAGGCAAGCCCCTTGTCACCAACAGAATCAATTAGAACATTTCTGCCACCCCACTTGCTAGCATTCAATAAATCCATGCTAGGATGTATGATTGAACAACAGCAACAAAAATTAAAGATAGTCTCTTGAAAGAGCAGTCATTCATTGAACAATTCATTCAGCATTTATAGTTTAGACATTGTATAAACACTGATAGTGCTTAGGGGAATAAAGATGAAAAGAGTAAGTCCCTCCTCTCATAGAGTTCAGTCTAGAGAGGAAAACAGACACATCATTGAATAAGAACATTATGACTGACAATTGAAATATTGGAGGATGTAGATGATGGTGGACCTATTCTACCACTGTGGAATGGTTCACTAACATTATATGTAAGCAACTGCATGGAAGGTTCTTTACATTTATTTTGGTATTGCTGTGTTTTCAGTGAAGATTTACATAGTAATTTAGGTTCCCACTCAGCAATTTCTACCCAAATTGTTCAGTGATATTGGTTACATTTTTTTACTATGTGTGAACATTCTCGACTGGTTGTTTCATTTCCATTAATCTAGTTTTCCTGCCCCCTTAACTTCTCATTTTTGTTTTAAAATTAACATTGACTTTTTAGTCTCATATCAGTGATGTTTTAAAGGAGCACAGTACCTATGGTGATAGTAATGTTTTAGTCAATTTATTTACCTGCAAGGTGACCTCAGTGGTTAGTTTCAGTTCAAGGTTTGGAGTATCTCAAGGCAATAGTCTTGGGGAGTCCTTCAGTCTCAACTAGTCTAGTAGGCCTGTTTTGCTTGTTTGTTTTAGAAATTTGAGGTCCTGTTCCACATTTTTCTTCCATTCTATCAAGGTCCATCTATTGTGACCCTGATTAAAACTGTTGGTAGTGGTAAGTGGGCACTATCTAGGTTTTCTGGTCTCGGGGTACATGAGGCCATGGTTCATGTAGCTAATTTTCCTATTGATTGGTCTTTGATTTCTTTCTTTCTTTTTCACTCCAAATGAATATAGACCAATAGTTGCATCTTAGATGACTGTTGTAAGTTGGTTCTTGATGGAAAACTAGTAATTTATGAAACAGACCTGAGTTGAAGAGGATATTTTAGGCAATGAGAATGTGGGAACAAAGATAGAGAGGTTTGAGGTGTGAAGGTTAATCATATGAAGAAAATAGCAATGTCTTGGTTTGACTTATAAACTGAAGGCAGCATGGAAGTGAAGTGGCAGGAGATGAGGCTGGGAGACAACCGAAAAGTTAAATTGGGTGACATCTTGTATATTGTACTAAGCAATTTAAATTTTAGCTTGTAGGGCAATAATGAAACTCTGAAAAGTTGTAACAATAACATCAAAAAATCATAGTGCCAACTGTGTGGCGGATGTTTGGGAGGGAAAATGGATGAGGACAAGGAGATAAGTTAAGAAACTGATGCAATAGGTTAGATAACTGATGATAAAGCCCAAACCAACTCATGGCAATCCCAGAGTAGTATTGTGCTCCCTAAAGTTCTCAATGGCTCACTTTTCAAAAGTAGGTCTTACTTCTGAGATATGCCTCTGGGTGAACTTGAACCTCAAAAATTTTGGTTAGTAGCCAAGCGTATCAACTGTTTGTACCCCAGTGACTCTAACAGAGTCTGGAGACCTGAAATGAGAGTAATTTTGTGGATGAAGAGGAGAGGGTAGATTCCAGAGCTATGTAGATGCAGAAACAACATAACATTGTTCTCCATGGCATGTGGGGAGAGAGAGAGGCAGAAGGAGAGACAGAAATCTAAGACAATTCTCAGATTATGATTTTAACAATTGAGTGGTGGTGTTTGTTTGATCTGAGATTACAAATATATGAAAAAGAGCAAGTTGTGAGACAAAGGAGAGCACTAGTATGGGACATGTCGAGGTTAAAGTGTTTAAGGGATGTCCCTGTAGAGGTATCCTATAAATGGGATATTTAGAACTAGAGCTATGAACAGAAATCTACATTAAAAATACAGATTTTAGAATCATCCATGTGCCATAGGTTAAATAATAAGCAAGGGAGTGCTGTGAAAAGTAGAGAAGAGGACTGAGGAAGGAGGCAGGAAAGGCACACATGGAAATTTACAACACTAGACAGCAAGAAAAAAGATATCTAACCGAGAACAACAACTGACACAGTCTGTCACTCACAATAGTGTTTGATTGGGTCTCTAGTTCTATTTCTATTAATCACTCCAGTGTCAACAGGGAAAGTGATGGAATGGATTGAGTAGCTATTTTTATGTTATTGCAAGTGTCCTCCAGTGATTGTGAATGGCACTTTTCTTGACAGATACTTAACTAAACTGAAAGATAGTGCTAATATATATTATTTAGGTTTCTCATCTTATAGTTTTTCATGATACACTTGGAGACAATATAGAAATGCTGGTCATTAATAGAACAATTAGCTTGTTATTCACTACTGAGATTATGATCTCAAGAGTATAGGCGGTATCAGAGATGGGTGAACTTCAACGACATCCCTTAAACACTTAGAGAGAAGGGCCACCTAGTGGCCCCACACCGGGGTCTCAATGCTTGACTTTACAATATTTAACAATTATTTCTTCAGATAAACTTAAATAGCAGGATGATCAAGCCTCGGAGAAATAGTGAATAAGTTGATTGATCAAATCAATATTCAGAAAGGCTTAGGCTAAAATGTTGGGTCCAAATCAGCAAATTTAAGTTAAACTCGAATAAAGTAAGTTCCTGCCTTTGGTTTCTGAAAAATGGCAGTATAATTAAAGGACAGTGGAGTTAACAATGTAATGTTACAGCCTCCATTTCAAGGCACAATGATATAACGTGCTACATATACAATAGTTGTACTATGTTCTACGCTGAAATACATTTGGAGTGCTTTAGATGTGAGTGCCACTCCAACCAACAAGAGAAGACCAGGAACGAATGTAAATAAGGCCATGTGAGCAATGGTCAAAGAATTGCTTAGTGACTAGCAGAGAGGAGTTGGAGGTAAGCAGAAGGAGGTTATGATGTTTCCATAAACATAGGAAACTGTGTCCCTTTCAAGAGAAGTTAGATGTTTCAGAGACAAGACTGCTCCAAATGAGATGAAAATAAAGGAAGGCAACTCATAGTAGGAAAAACCTTTCTGGTTCATCTTTTCATAAATGGATTGGGCAACCTTGTGAGGGGGTGAGTTGCCCATGGCTGGAAGTTTCTAAGCAGCATGACATTATAGAGAAGAGTCGTGGAGAGGGAAAGAGATTGAGCTAGATAACCCTTCTTCTGAGAACAGCTTTGTGAAATTATCTATTCAGTCTCTTCAGTTGTTTCATCCTAAATACAATGCTGGTTTATGAGATCTTTCTTCTCCCCATATAGAGATAATCAGTTCTACAAATCTTATTGTTCTGCTAGAGGATGAAATCTTTGCAGATTTTTTCAACACATTTCTTTCTCTCCCGGTAAGTATTCTCAGACTTGAACCCAAATGTGTCATCAATAGATGAATATCAAATCTCACTGGATTAAGCACCATTTTTATTAATTAAATTTATTACCAAATCAAAACCATTTCAATTTAAACAAAGAAATATGAGCCAGAATCTCCTTAAAAATATTCACAAACTTCTCATTATTGGCATAATCAGATTCCAAATCTCTTGCCTTCTTAGTTGCCTTCATCTGTCCAAACTTATTTCCCATCACACTCTACTGGTACCCAGTGCTCTAGTGATGGTTTTACTCTCCCCAAGTACACCTAGCATTGTTTGCTCTGCCCTGAATGCTTTCATTATAGTTCACTCTACCAAAGTCTTACTCTTCTTCCTAAATCCTATTCTCCTTAAGGAATTCCTAGGTCTTCCCAATCACAATAGAATTCTCCCTGCCCCTCATTCCTGAGGGCACTTTGCATCTCTAGTGTGTGTGTGTCTGTGATGTCTTCAGCATTTGAGTGTGATATTGTGAATTCTTGCAAGACAAGAGTTTGCTAGGCTCCCCTCCCAAGATGTCCGACACAATAGCAATTGGTGACTAGCAGATAAACTGTCTGTGTTCCTCAATTTATGCATCTAAAACAAACTTTAGACATCAAAATATTAATCAAAGATTCTACAGAAGAATCCTAAACAGAATGGAGAAAATGCAGAACAGAATTTCAAATTCTCATGGAAATTAGATTTTCTGGAATCACAGAGGCTGGATCAACCTCTGAAACTATGGCCCTGAGACAATCTTTAAATCGTAAACCAGAAACATCCCCTGAAGTCTTCTTTAAGCCTAACTGTAATTCAGCTTATGTAGTAAAGAATGTCTGCCTGGGACGTCATGTGCTTTTAAGAACTATCCCCATGAGATCAAATTGACAACAGCACCTTGAAAGATTAGGTAGGAAACTCAGGAGGGCAGTGTGTTTATACTAATGAGAAACAACTTAGGAAAGGAGGATAAGCATGGCTGCACAACTCAAGGAATGTAATCAATGTCACTGAATTGTGTATGTATAAATTGTTGCGTTGGGGTATGTTATGATGCATATGTTCTTAACAGCAACAAAAATACATCTTAAGCATCTCTATTTGTCTCATTTTCTTCAGCCTTTTCCCTTCGACCTTCATCATTTCTCACCTAAATTTTGGAAATTATCCCTTCCTCTACCATGCCTCAAACTTACCAACCACTTCTAAGAAACCCTATACAGGGTTGCTATGAGTCAGACTGACTTACCGGCACTTAACAACAATAACAAAACACTAAACTAAAGGTTGGAAGTTCAAATTCACCTAATGGCATCATGGGAGAAAGGCCTAGTGATCTGTTTCTCAAAAGACTACAGCCGAGGAGACCCTATAGAACAGTTCTTCTCTGTAATGCACAGATCTCCATGAGATGGAATCAATTCCATAGCAATTGGTTTGGTCTTTGAGAGAGAGAGTTGTTGTTAGTCACTGTCAAGTTGGTTTAGACTCATAGTGACCCTATGCACAAGAAGAACAAAATACTGCTTATTCCTGTGCCTTTCTCACAATTGTTGCTATGTTTGAGCCCACTATTGCTGCCACTGTGTCAAGCCATCTCATTAGGGGTCTTTTTCTTTTTCACTGATCCTCTGCTTTACCAAGCATGATGTCCTTCTCCAGGGACTGGCCTTTCCTGATAACATGTTCAAATACCAGAGACTAAGTCTCACCATTCTAAGGACTATTCTAGCTATACTTTTTCTAAGACAGATTTGTTTGTTCGTCTGGCAGTTCATAATGCTTTCAATATTCTTCACCAAAACCGTAATTCAGATGCACTGATTTCTCTATGGCCTTGTCTATTCATTGTCCAAGTTTCACATGCCTCATATGAGGTGATTGAAAACAAGGGTCAGGCACACCTTAGTCCTCAGCGTAACAGCTTTGCTCCTGAACACTGTAAAGAGATCTTGAGCAGCAGATTTGCCTAATGTAATACATCCTCTGATTTCTGAACAACTGCTTCAATGAGTGTTGTGGATCCAAGCAAAATGAAGACTTTGACAACTTCCATCTTTCTCGATCGGTCATTGTGTTATTTATCGGTCCAGTTGTAAGGATTTTTGTTTTCTTTACATTGCAGTGCAACCCATGCTAAAAGCTGTAGTCTTTTATCAGAAAGTATTTAAGTCCTTTTCACTTCCTACAAGCCAGGTAGTATCATCTGCATATTCAGCTTGTTAGTGAGCCTTCCTTCAATCCTGATGCCATGTTCTTCTTCATATAATCCAGCTTCTCAGATTATTTGTTTAGCACACAGATTGAATAAGTATGATGAAAGGATACAACCATGGCATACAGCTTTCCTGATTTTAAACCATTCAGTATCCCCTTGTTTTGTTCCAACAACTGCCTCTTGGTCTATGTACAGGTTCCTCAAGAGCACAATGTTCTGGAATACCCATTTTTCACAATGTTAACCATAGCTTGTAATGATTCTCACAGTCAAATGCCTTTGTGTAGTCAATAAAGCACAGGTATTCTCTACTTTCAGTTAAGATCCATCTGACATCAGCAATTATATCCCTTGTTCTATCCTCGTCTTAATCCAGCTAGAATTTCTGACAGCTTCCTACTGATGTACTGCCACAACCACGTTTGAATCATCTTCAGCAAAATTTTACTTGCCTGTGATATTAATAATGTTGTTCAATGATGTACTCATTCCGTTGGATCACTATTCTTTGGAATGGGCACAAATATGGATCTCTTCTTGGTCAGGTAGCTGCTTCCAAAATCTTCATATATAGACAACTAAGCACTCCCAGTGCTGCTTCGGTTTGTTGAAACAGTGTAATTTTTATTCTGTCAATTCCTGACCCTTGTTTTTCATCAGTGCCTTCAATGCAGCTTGGGCTTCTTCCTTCAGTATGACCGGTTTTGATCATATGGTAACTCCTGAAATGGTTGCAACAGTGACTGTGCCTTCCTTCTACCTTTCTTTGAGGTTTCCTCCATCATTCAATATTTTGCCCATAAAGTTCAATATTGAAACCTGAGGCTTGAATTTTCTCTTCAGTTCTCTCAGCTTGAGAAATGCTGAACATGGTCTTTCCTTTTGGTTTTCTAACTCCAGGTCTTTGCACATTTCATTATAATATCTGACTTGATCTTCTTGAGCTGCCCTTTGAAATTTTCTGTTCAGCTCTGTTACTTCATTCCCTTCAGTCACCTAAGCTTCTCTATGCTCAAAAGGAAGACTTAGAGTTTCTGACATCCATTTCAGTCTTTTCTTTCTTTCCTGTCTTTTTATGACAGTTGCCTTTCTTTCTGTTTGATGCTTTTGATGTCACTCCACAACTCTTCAGGTCTTCAGTCATTTGTGTCTAATGCAGCAAATCTGTTATTGAGATGGTCTCTAAATTCAGGCTGGATATATTCAAGGTCATATTTTGGCTCTCATGGACTTGTTTTAATTTTCTTCAGCTTCAGCCTGAACTTGCATATGACAATTGATGGTTTGCTCTACAGTTGGACCTTGGTTTTGTTTTGGCTGATGATATTGAACTTCTCCATAGATGTAGTCACTTTGATTCCTGTGTATTCCATTAAATTGGTTATGACTCATAGTGACCTTGCAAAGGTTTTCCGAGGTTGTGGGAGCAGAAAGACTTATCTTTCCACCACAGTGCAATTGGTGGGCTCGAACCACTGACCTTGTAGCTCACAGTCATTGCTTATCCTCTAGAGTCACCTACCATTATGCTGTGTAAGAGACATTATTCCCTTTTTACAATTGAATTTTAGACACTAGTTCCTTGCTTGAGATCACATATTAAATCCAGGCAGTCCTGGAGCTAAGCAGATCTCCTTGATTCAGATCAGTCTCCACATTAAGTACCATATGACTTGGTGCTCTTTCTGCCTTGTTCTCCACTCTCATAGATTAAAATTAATTGCACATATCATTCCTCATCATCTCGAGACTTGACAGCCCTATCACAGCCCCCTGAATGATAGCTTACTCCTTACTGACCACGTGGTACATAATGTGTCAAACACCGAGGTAGAGCATGAACTGGGAGGGACCACTCAGGACTGAGTCTCATTTACTGGATTCAATTTGTAAAATGCAGGCAGCACACTCACCTTCTTTCCACACTTTAGAGCCAGAAGAAAGGAAAGAGCAGTGGGCCACAGATGGGCAACAGTCTGCCCATCTAGGGGAGATAGACTGACAGGCATAATATTCTAAAAACTCTGTAAAGAGATGTTCTTCAAACCTTCTAATTTATCACCAATACTTCTGGAACATTTTGAGATATTTTCATGCCCAGCTTGAAGCTGCTGTTTGCTTTGTTGTTGTTAAGTGCCTTCGAGTTGGTTCCAACTCATAGTGACCTTGTATAGGACTTCCAAGGAGTGTCTAGTGGGTTTGAACCACTGACCTTGTGGTTACCAATTCAGCATTTATCCTACAGCTCCAAACCAGGACTATACCTACAAACGTATAATCTCTTTCATTAGTCTCAAAGCTGGTTGCCTATGCAGTATCACTTCTCCATGACAAAAGAGGACCATTGCCAGGGATTACCCATCAATTTGGACACTTTAATGCCTCCATAAAGTCCTAGTGTGGCACTGTTGGATAAGCACTGGACTGCTAGCCGAAGGTCAGAGATTCAAACCCACCAGCTACTCCTTGGAACGCCTATCAGGGTTGCTATGAGATGGGACCAACTCAATGTCACTTAACAACAACAGCAATGCCCCCATAGAAGTCATGGTGTGACACTGTAGGAGAAGCACTGGACAGCTCACTGCAAGGTCAGCGGTTCCAACCTATCAGCTGCTATTCAGAAACTCTATATTGGGTCACTATGAGTCAGAACCAATTTGTTGGCTCTTAACAACAATAACAACAACAACAACAATGCCCCCATAAGGAGTTCTGGTGGTGCTACAGATTAGGCATTGAACTGTTAACTGCAAGGTCAGCCATTCAAACTAACCGATCACTCTTCAGGAGAAAGATGATATTGTCTGCTCTCCTAAAGATTTGCAGTCACAGAAGTCCCAAATATAGTCATGATGAATTGCATCTGATTCGATGACACTGGGTTTGGTTTAGACTATTTTAGTGCCCCCATATGTGTGTGACTTAAACCCAGAGTTTTCATACCCCTAATCCTCTCTACTTTCTCTAGTTCAAGAGTTTATCCAAATCTAAATCTGTTGCTCATTATGAAAAGCTCTTATATCTTTGCTTTTACTCTCTAAGTCCATGGGGAAAATAAATAAATAAATAAAACAGTACATAAAGCAAATGTATTTTAATATCATGGGCTTTGGCCTTTGCACACAGGCAAGATCACTCCCAGGTTGGGGAACACAAAAAAAAAAGTGAATTTTGAAATTCAGTTTACTTAGGTGTTTCTGTGCAAAGCAAGTTGATTCCATCAAACAATTTAAGAATTCAGGTCCCTCAAGATAGGGAAGTAGATATCTCTTACCCTGTGGGTACAGACAGACCCTGTCATTCCATGAAGAAAGCCATGCCCTCTTGGCTGTTCCTAGCTTTCTTTTGCAGGTCTTTGGTCAGATGCCATTTTACACTGTTGAAAATTCACAATGGAGTTTGTGGCCAGAAATACCATATGACTTGGTGAGTAAGTGTCTTTTTTTGTTGTTGTTGAGAATGTACACAGCAGAACATACACCAATTGGACAGTTTCTACTTGCACAATTCAATGACACAGGTGACATTCTTCAAGGTGTCACTTCAATCACTCTCAGCTTCCTTTTCTGAGTTGTTCCTCTCTAGTTACACAAACTCGCTGTTCCCCAAGATTCCTAGCAAAACTCAGTTAGCGAATTGCTATCGTCAGTTTGCTCCCAAATAGACAGTTCTTCAAAGAGTACAATACTCATGGAAACGTTCTTTCAAACATTCATTCTTAATGAAAGTATAAAAGTAGCCACCAAACAGTAAAAGACTTATGACAGCTAAGGTATTTAATCTATACTTTAAACTAGTTTCCAATTTTTTTTCACTGCCATTGCTGCTCCATCAGAAAAAAATCTTAAGCATTTTCCTTCAATAAGTATGTATATGTTTATTCACATGTTGTTCTTTACCAATACATTATATATTTTAAAAAATTATGTTGGAGTCAGATCAGCCAGATTTACCCTTGATGAGAACCATGGAGGGGTTGGGAGGCAGATGAGGAAGCTTAAAGTTCAAATGTTGATTGAGAGAAGAAGAGGGTGCTTAGAGTGTGATTCTAGAAGAAAGCAGGTAAGTAGAACAATGGGCATTTGTCCTTTTTATGTTTTTGCCTCTTGAGCAAGCGATTGCTGGTGAATTCTTTCTTTTATATTCTAGTCTCTTGTTACCAAAAGGGATACATTTCTCAGATTCTCTGTAATTGTTAGGTAGTAGATGTTTGAAGCATTATGTTCAGAAGAATTTTGAGGCTACATCTAAGTTCAGCAAGAAAATGTTTCGTAATTGATTGGCGGCAATGCCTGTCGTAAGTGTGGACTAGGAAATGGCAGCCCATCAGCCATATAGACTTATCATTTGCCTAATATGGTATGTGGTTGTTATGTGCCATCAAGTCAGTTCCCAGGCATAGTGACCTTGTATAGGGTTTCCAAGGAGCAGCTAGTGAGTTTGAACCTCTCCTTACAAGGTATATAGATCAAGGAAATATACTGCATTTACTAATGGTCAGTTAACCTTTTTCCTCTAGAGTTTCTTCTGTTCCTAGTCTCTTTCTCTCTTTGTACTTGTTTCTTTTTCCTTGTCTATTGCCTTTCTCTTCTCTGTTTCCCTCTTTCTGTTTCTCTTTTCAATTGTGTAGACCTTACACTTATCAATGGTTTTCATATGTACTCTTAGTGGCACATGGAGTCCTGGTATGGCGCTGTGGGCTAATGCGCTGGACTGCAAGGTCACTTTGAACCACAAGGTCGGCAGTTCAAACTCACCAGCTGCTCCTCAGAAACCCTATACAGGGTCACTATGGATCGGAATTGACTCAAAGGCACTTAACAACAACATTAGCGGCACATAGGACCAGAGATTGCTTTAGGCTCTCCTCACAGCAAACTTTATTCTTCTTCCAGATGTACATTGCCAACAAAGACACCCCACTCTGATTATTATCTTTGGTTTCCTTAAAATTGCCCTGAAACTTAAAATTTTTATAGTTTTCTCCTCTCTCTGGTGGCTCAAGCCCTCAGGAATCCATCCCACACTTTAATTGGTGCTATATGTGAGCATTTATGTATTTTTATATACATTGTGCAATCTATAGAGGTTGGAAGCTATGCTCAATTATGTGTGTTTACTGAGAAGCTAGTTAAACACAACTTTGACGTGAAAACACAAACACAAATCTCTCTTACTTTTCTATCAAAAAAAGTCTTGGGTCATTTTACAGAATAGAAAGAATTCTTATTCTTCACTCTTCTGTTTGATTTTTAATCGCCACTCCCTCTCCTCCAGGCCACGCTGTAAGAGGTTATTAGTTGCTCTTTTCTAAGTTGCATTTCTTAGTAGTTCTATTTCTCATTTCCACTCCTATTCTGTTTGGACTCTAGATTGCTAAATACAAAGGATTATTGACCTGGTTGGAAAAATACAGGTTGCCTTTCTTCTGTAAAACCAACTTATGTTTCCAGTACATTCTCTGTCAGGAGCTCACCAGCTTCATTAAATCCCCAGAAGGAGGTAAGCATGGGTGTGTGTCTGGGGTTAAGCATGGGGGTGTGGGGAAGGGAGGGTGGTAGTGCAGGAAGCAGTTGTAAAACAATCCCTGTGCTAAGGAGCAAGTACTGACTGCTTTTGTAGTCTTGGACACGCTGGTAGCCCAGTCTCTGTAATGGCAATGGGTGAAACAGGAGGTTGAAAACTAGGTCTTTATTGTTTCCAGTGAATTGACTCCAACTCATAGCGACCCCATATGTGCAGTGTAGAACTGCTCCAGAGATTTCCAAGACTGGCCTTTTAGAAACAGATTACCAGGCCTTTTGGAAGACAGCTCTTGATGGGTTGGAACCTCCAACCTTTTGTGTAGTAGTCAAATCTTAACTGTCTGTGCCAACCAAGGACTCAAAAAAATTGGGTACCTACAGCAGCAATATGTGGAGTTTGTAGGTGGCACAAATGGTTAACATGGTCAGTTGCAAACCAAAATGGTAAAGGTTTGAGTCTACTCAGAAGGAACTCAGGAGAAAGGGCTCTTAATCTACTTCCAAAACAACAGCCATTGAAAATCCTATGGAGCAGAGTTCTATTCTGACATACTAGGAGTCACCATGAGCTAGAGTCAACTTGATGCCAACTGGCTGTTAGAGCAATAAGCAGGAATCAAAATGGGCAGGGCTGTTTGTCTCACTACAGCCAGAAATATTGGTAGTCACGGAACATGGTAAGGTTGCCTAAAATATATCTAAAAGTGGATAAGTCACATTACCTTCACTGCCACCATCCAAAACTGAGCTACCATCATTTTTCATCCAAGGACTGAAACTGTCTCTGAATTTGTTTTTCTTTTTCTACTCCTGTTCTCTACACAAAGCAGTCAGAATGAGCCTTCTAAAACAAAAGTTAGATCATGCCAATCCTGTGATCAAATGAACTCCCATCTCAGAGCAAAACCAGTGACTGCTGTGTCAGAATGAAACCCAGTGCCCCTACTGTCATCTTCCAGGGCCTGGAGCCTTGGCCTCATTTCCTCTGACCTCATCGCCTCCTACTCTACCCTTCTCTCACTCCATCTAGCCACACGGTGGCTTCCTTGCTTCTGTGCTATTCCTCAAACATGCAGGACACATTCCCACTTCAGGACTTTGCACTGACTGCCCCCTTTGCTTGGAATACTCTTCCTCTACATATCTACATAGATACCTCCCTCATCCCTGAAATCCTTGTACAAATCTCAACTTCTCAATAAAGTCTACCTTAATGACCTCATTTAGTACTGTAGCTTGCCACTCACCCAAGCCCTGCCCCCAGTTCTCCCAATCCTCTTTACTTGCTTTACTTTTCTTTCTATCTATACTAATTATAATCTTAAAACTGACTAGATTATGTATATGTTTATTTTGTTTGTCTGACTCTTTCACTAAAGTTTAAGCTCCTCAAGGGCAAGGATTTTCGTCCTGATTGCACCTAGAAAATACCTGGCACTTTGCTGTTGACTGATGTCTAGTCATTTCTGACTCAAACCCTGTATAGGGTTTCCAAGGAGTGGCTGGTGAGTTTGAACTGCCAGCCTGAGGTCCAAACCAACCTTGTGGTCCAGTGCATTATACCACAGCACCAGCACCACACCAGAACTCCAACGAAAAGTTTTGGAAAATGACCAGTTGTATAGGCCAGGAATTGAATCCGGCCCTCCTACGTGGCAGGTGACAATTCTACCACTGACCTGCGCATGCTCCCTAAATTCCTGGCACTCAACAGGCATACAATAAATATTTGTGAATGAACAAGTGAATAGAATTTCCATATAGGGAAGGAAACTAAGTATGTTGTACCTCATGTAAAGTTAAGATTGGAGAACATTCATTAAGTAACAAAAAAAATTAACAAATTACCCCTATGTTCAATGCTGTCCTTCCTTCCATATGTATATTGAAAACATTAGGGTAAATGCATACAAAGACTGAAAGTGCTGTCTGTGACTGTAAAAAGGAGAGGTCCCTGACTGTGAGGACTTTCAGAGCTGAGGATTGTATGCACACTGTGGGCTCTTCACATGTCACTCGATGTCACCGTGGAGGTTCTGATGCCTAGTCAGGACCCTACTCCTCTAATTGGACACCATTTTTTCTACTCACATTGAGTGACTGAGGGTTGCCTGTGTGCAAGGAGAGAGGGACCAGCAGAAGAGCTCATTCTCTTTCTCTCACTGTGGACTTCTCTTGGCAGCTAAGATGATGAGATGGAGAAAGGCAGACCAGTGGCTACTCCAGAAATGCATTGGCAGCGTCAGAGGGATGAGGCGCTTCTGTACCTACCTCAAGGGCAGTGCAGGTGGGTTTTCAGAGATGTCCCTGGGGCCTTCACACATCCTTAACAATTTCCAGCATACCCCAGAGGCCCACTTGGAAGTTTTATGTATCTTTAGTGACTATGAAGACCTTGGATGATATTAACAGTTTGGGTTCTCAGCTGCTAACCTGGAAGTTGGAGGTTTAAGTCCCCCCAGAAACACCACAGAAAAAAAAGTCTTGGTGATCTAATTCTAAAAAATCAGCCACTAAAAACTCTTTGGAGCCCAGTTCTCTGATACATGTGTGGTCACCCTGAGTCAGAGTCAATTTGCTGGCAACTGACTTTTATAGTGACTAAAAAAATGCTTAATAAAACAGGTTGGATAAAAATCTTTGAAAACTGTAGATTAGGGCAAAAGCAGTGAGCCTTTTCATGCATTCATTGAACTCTTATCTATTGAAAAACACTAATCAGCAGGCACTGAGCTGGTAGCTGGGGATACAGAGTTGAACAAGAGATGCAAGTCTCTGCTTCATAAAGCTGTCACTCTCATGGGACAAGTAAATCAATCTGCTACTGTTGTGAAAGTTTTGGGAGGCTCAAGAGGCCACAACTGCTGCCTTTGATGTTAGATGAGTGGATAGAATATGGTTGCTAGGAGCCTGACATGGGCTGAGACTCCAGTTTACCTTCTATAGCTTCATCCAGGGACAAGCCCTTGGTTATGGATGGATCTTCATGATCTTCAGGGAACAGGAAGAGAAGAACTAGACAGACTATATGTGTAATTGTTTACTCAGAGGTGGCCTTGCAAAGCTGATAAATAAGGAATGTAGTCTTTGGCACCTACAGGCTCCAATGCCTTTCTGTAAGCTGTTCTGGGCTCATGATCTGGGAAATGTTTTCTTTCCCATAATCTTCATTTGGGGGACAAAATTAAATGTCTCATGATTCATTCACAATGTCTTGAAGGTTGTTCCTAAAGTGACAGCTCTTCTAACAACAAGTTACAGAGAATCCCTATTCATTGGGTCCTTGTGCCCTGCTTTCCTGCACATCTCCCTCCTCCCATCCTGCATTAGGGCTTTTGTGGTGATGATGTTTTAACCCAAAGTGACTAATGGTGATGTCTGAGTCAGTAGAGCAGGCTGCTGGGTACAGTATCAATTGTTCCACACAGATTCAACTACCAAAGGAGCAAGAGTGTGGTGCCACTCTGATCTTACCTGTCTGATTTATAGGTGATGAGTTGGTGGATTTCTGGGTCCTTGCTGAGAAGATCCTGAGCATAGATGAGACAAACCAGGAACTGAGAGACCATTACCTGTCCCTGCTCCTCATGCTGAAGGCCACCCATCTGCAGGAAGGCTCCAAGGTGGTGACTCTCTGCAACATGAACATCAGTAAGAATTCTAATGCTTTTCTGAAGTAAAACCCTTGAGGGATGTAGCAAGACAATCAATTCAGCATCTCATAATCTCAATCACTTGTTCTCAGTCCCACCTACTATCTTCTCCATCTTCTATGTATCAGGGAAGGCAATGGGAACTCTTAGTCAGGGAAAGTTTTCAAGAGAACAGCTACACTTAGCCCAGCACTTGTGTCTTCCTGAGATATCAACAGTAAGTGCAGGCTACCTGGAAGGAGTGAAGAGGAATTGGGAGAGGGTAACTGAATGGCTACTTGCATCTTCCTAACTTGCATGGCTCTGTCATGTTTTTAAATAAAAATTTTCTAGAACAAGTTACAGACCATGAACCAAAGGAAGTTCGGGCAGTCTATTCCTACATTTTTATAGTATTCCTCCCTACCTACCCTGGTCACGTATCTCTTAAAAAGAAAAAAATTTTTTAAAAAGTCTATGCAACGGAGACTGTATATGGCTTTCAAAGTCTAAAATATTTACTATTTGATGTTTTACATAATAAAATATTGATAATCCCTGATCTAGAACATCAAATGTATCCAAATTTAAATTTACTAAGTGAGGAGAAGCTTTTATTTTTAACTCAAATAAAACATGTTCGAGAAGACTTGCTATTTGGGATTTGTCACACGTTTCTCTATTCGTGTAGGTAATTGAGGATTGGTGATATTAAAATCAGGACTAGTAAGGGCTTCTTCAACTTGTTCAGTCCAAACCCCTCCTCCAATCAGATCTGACCCTGAGGAATCCCATTCAGAGGTACATATCTCTTGTTCTTATACATTTTTTTGTGTGGATTTTGCTTTTCTTTACAATGGCATCAGTAGTCTAAAAAAAGAACTTCAGGAATTATATTAAATGGCTTTTTGCATTAGAAAGAAAGAAGGTAAACAGAGAAAAGGACCACTGTGCACACTGAGAGAACCCTAGAAGTGTGTCTATTACTTATTTGGCCTGTCTACCCTCTAGAGATCCATAAAGAACTAATGAAAATCTATATTGCAAAACATTTGGGGAAATTCAAAATCTCTCCAATAGCATCACCATCATCATATTCTTTCCACCTGCCTTCTCTCTGTGTTCTTTTCAGAGGCACTCCTGAACCTCTCCATCTGGCATCCAAACCAGTCAACCACCAGGAGAGAGATACTGAGCCACATGCAGAAAATGGCTCTATTCAAACTCCAGAGCTACTGGCTCCCCAACTTTTACACCCATGCTAAAATGAACATGGCCAAGGAGGAGGAGTGCCAGGGTCTGATGCAAGAATATGAGACACGCCTTTGCAGTGTTTGCTACACACATGTAGGAGGGCTCCCTCTGAGCATGAGCATCAAGAACTGCCAGCGTCCCCAGAAGCGGTACTCAAGCAGGAAGAGCAAGAGGAAGATGTGGCAGTTGATAGACCATAGCACCAGTTCTCTGGAAATGGAGCTACCATCCACTCCCCCTGAGCCAGGAGCCACAAGCAGGCCCACACAGGAGATGCATCCTCAGAAGAAGGCAGTTGTAGAAATGCCTGCTCTCCATGTGGCCCATTCAGAGGAGAAAATTATTGGTTCCTTGGAAGAAAATAATTATACCAAGAGTTCCTCCACAAAGAAGAAAGCCAACAGCCACTTCTACATGGAGGGCCTTTTTGAGACAGAGGTCTCCACCCGCCTGAGGACCACCACTCCCATCATCCATCACTCCTCCCAGATAACACTGAAGAAGGTAATCAAGAAAAATCTCTCCTTGGCGTACACCCACTGGGCCCTAAGTGCTGATGCCTATGCAGGGAGTCCCTTCCGGGAATACCTGAAGAAACAGAATTTGAAAGTGGAGACTCAACTCCTTGACCTCTGGCAGGACCTGAACCATTTCCTTGGTGTCATCATGAGTAGCAGGAAGAATGGGAATGCTGCCTTTCGGTACATGTTGGGCCACAGGATCTGTGAAATCTACCTGAATGAGGAAATTGGATCATGTGTACCACTCAAATCTCAAACCATTCAGGGCCTGAAGATTCTGTTGCCACTGGGGGATGTGAACCCCTGGATTCCCAGAGCCCAGAAAGAGATCTGCAAGGTAGGCCAGGCTTCACAGCCATGGGTTAGTATCTGGCACATTAGGTAAAGACTGGCCAAAAATCTTGTCTGACCACCTACACTAGGTAAGACAGCTAGAGAGTTACACAATAACTTTCTATAATTTGAAGAGTTGATTGATCTTTTAGGAACAAGCCATCATATTCCCAGGAACCAGTCAAAACTCAACAGTAAGATGAGTTGAGGAAGTAGCAAATTTCCATTTTCTATTCTTTTTTCACTTCTTACAAGGACTGTCCCAGAACTA